AAACTACAGTTCTTCATAGTTCCTCTAAATTACTTGAGGCCCATGTTAATATTTATTCAAGTGGGCTGAAGTATGAATTAGTTCCTTAATCATCAAAACTGGATCTCTTATAGAAGGATTAATCCAGTGGTACAATAAAACTAGCTGCCTCATCTAAAATAAAGAGCAATTCCAATGCAGATCTGAGTGTCTCTACTCACTGGCTCTCAGATGTGGTTTTAAATGATTAGTGCCCAAAAAGAAGCCTTCTGGTTCTATTCTGTAATATACAAAACAGTTACCAGTGGTCAGTTAGAGCCAGGAAAATAGAGAATTAAATGAAATAATAAAGATAAGACAGTGGGTAACTGAAAATCTGATATGCTAATTTCTGAAAATATTTCAGGACCACACTGTGGATGAATTGCTGAACATAAATGTTGAAAATTTCAAAATGGAGTTTTAGTGGCATGTTGCCTTTCTTTAAAGATGGGCCAACCCTGGGTAATAGCTGACAAGGGAGGTGCCTTGGGAGTTCCTCCTGACTCTTACAAAGGAAATATAGTACTGTCTTTAGATTCCCATTTGGGAAATTGAACACATTTGTTCTCCTTGGGTAGTCCAAAAAAGGTATTATGTTAATCTGTTCAGGTGGCTATAATTGAATACCACAGCCTGGGTGGCTTATAAACAACAGAAATTTATTTCTCCCAATTCTGGAGGCTGGAAGTCCATGATCAAGGTGCTGGCAGAATCATCAGTGTCTGTTGAGAGCCTGCTTCCTAGTTCGTAGGTGGCCATCCTCTCACTGTCCTCACAGGAGGAGAGTGGCAAGGGATCTGCTGGGGTCTCTTTTACAAGGGCACTAATCCCATTCATGAGGCCTCCACCCTTATGACTCAATCTCCTCCCAAAGGTCCCACCTCCTAATGCCATCACCTTGGGGGTTAGGATTTCAATGTTATGAATTTTGGGTTGACACAAACCATAACAAGGGTGACCATAGACCATAACAAGTATGTATCTTTACATCTTGGAAATGAAAACTAGATTACACAAAGAAGGGAAGGAATCTTTGCCTGTTTCCTACTAAAGAAACTCTGAGACTCTGGCCTTAGCACAACTCAATGAGCCTTGAGCAAACGCCTACGGTGAGCTTAGGTCTGTGCACCACTCATCCCCCAAAGAATGATCCTTTTGGTCAAATGCTAAACAAGGTCTCTGTTGGTCCCACAGGGACCCACTCAAACTCACAGACTTGGTATGAAGATTATTTTAAGCTGAAGACATTTGAGAAGCAGCTGAAACCAAAAGGAGCTTCCTTTATCTGACTGAAAGCAGAGCCTTCCATGAGTGACTCAGCCATAAATGCCCTCTCCCACTCAGGCAGGATGAGAATTTGCATAAAACAAACATTTTCACAACTGCCATACCTTCCATTTCTTCCCCTAAAAGCTCATTTGTCTCCCCACAGGAGCCCTTTCTGTGTCCTTCCCTCATTAAGTTGGTATACAAACCCCTGTATGGCCAGCTCTTCACCCAAGTTCACTCACATCCATGTGAATAGAAGTTGTTTTCTTTGTTCCTGTTAACTTGTCTACTGTTAACTTTCCGGCCCCTGACCACTGAATCTAAGTTGGTAGAGGACTTTTTTCCCTCCTAACAGTCCAAATTTCAAATGGGGAGGGAGCCATTGTGGGGTTGGCAACAGTTGTACCCAGAAACTGGCTGTCTGCTGCCCCATCTCTGCCCACACATGGAATGTTCTGATGCCTCTTCCCTTTAAGGTCCCCAAATCTCATAATGATACAATTTGGAGACATTTACCAAAACTATGAAATCTTGAGATAAAAGGATTGCTTAAGCTCTCGAGTTTAGCTCTGGCTTAAAATTCTGAGATGAGTGTCACAATCTTTTTGAAGCAGCACAATATTCATGTCTCTTATTTATTTTTCAGGAATTCTAGGGTCTTTAAGAAGGTCTGTTTTTACAAGTCTGTTCTTGGCAAGATTTAGGTTTGATTCCATTGGGGCCAAAGTTCTATTCCAAGGAAATGTAGCCAATGTGATATGTAACAGAAGTTTCAATGCACATATAAAGATTTATAGGATACTTTGCACATGTATGGTGAGTTTATTTAAAAACAAACAGATGTGAGGGTAGATACCTAGGGAAGCAAAGGGGCCTGTGGTTAGGAGGTGGCAGAAGCCATGGTTACAGATTTTCAAGAAGGGAAGTGGGAGACAGGGCCAAAGACCACAAGTGTGTTGAAAAACTGGAATGACTTAGATTGGTCACGAGTGACGTGGGTAAGAGCAGTTCAGGGTGCGTGGCAGTTCAGGGTGTGTGGGGTGAGGGAGCAGGTTTCCTGAAGGAAGTGGCACAACGAGTGTTAATGAGCATCGTAGAGAGAATGGTGGAGAAATGACAGTTGCCCAGAGAAGGAAAGCTGCCTCTGTTCTTAACCCTACACATCATCCATAAAAATGCACGCTAAGAATTAGGAATAAGAAAATGAGAAATGTACAAGAAGAGGAGTATTTTAAAGTGCGCATATCCATACTAAATCAGGATAAGTAATGTTTTCACAGAATAATTTTTAAAATTTTTTATTAAAAAGCCCTCTGCTCCTTTCCTCGGTTAGATGTGATCAGATTCTCATCCAGGGTTGCAAAGCTGACAATCAGCGAGTTGGAAGAAGAAACAATGGATGGATTAGCACAATTTAGAAAACACTTTCATGTACAATGTTTAACATTCAAAATCTGCTCAATCAATTACTGAAGAACTGAAAGCAATTCGAGTTACTTTTTCATTCTGTACAGGGAAGTTCACATTGTTTTGCAAGAGGAAGTTGAGCTGTTAAAAGAAAAACCTAAACCTAAATATTAAACTATAGGGAAGGTTGAAGGTTCCTGTTGCTTTGAGAACAGCTGGCCTAGCCCGAGGAAAAACCATCCCTATATAGCCAGGTTCTAAGAACTAAAAAGAAGTGCGGGGAATGACCAGATGCTAAGGACTCCGTCTTAAAGGAAAGCAGAAGAAGGGTCCTAGGTGTAGGAGCTCCCAGGTGAAACCACGGGTTCAGAAAGAAAAGGGACTTCTCCAGCAGTGGGCTACAGACCAAACAGTAGTGGAGGCCAGGGTGGCCGTTGAGCTCAGGAGCACCCATACCCACGCCCCAGCAGAGGCTGAGACCTGACTGGCAGAGACACTGCCGTGCAGCAGTGCTGTCCTCTAACCCTTCTTTCTTTGTCTCTTGAAGCCCATCCAAAGCCCTTCCCAGAGGTACATGTCCTCCATGACATGGTCCCAGACTTGAAGATCAGTCAGGAGGAAGGCATAGACCAATTATATAGATCTGTTACACAAAAGAGGAGGGACAATGTCATGTCTCTGTACCTAGATTTCCACCCAAATGAGGAATGCTGCCAGCTAGGGATAGGGCAACTGGCCATGGGGTCTCCTACTGAACAGCAGCACCCAGCAATGCCTCAGAGAATCAGGCCTGCCTTGAAACTGGACTTCCAGCCTTCAGAACTGTGAAGAAATAAATTTCTGTTGGTTAAGCAACCTAGTCTGTGGTACTTGTTATAGCAGCCTGAGCAAACTAATACACCAGGGAAAAAGTGATCAATGGCATTGTCCCCAAGGAATTCGAGGAAAGAAACATAAAGACCAGCATCCATCATGAGACAATGAAGGGTGACTAGAGATGCTTAAACTGGTGTTAGGACAGAATAGATGAACCCCACAGCTTGGGGTTTACCTAAGGAATTACCCAGATTTGGATCAAGCTGAACTAGGGATAGGAAGAATGGTATGACCTGGAAGATACCATGAAGGGAGGTGCTGTAGTACTAATCCTGGACCAGTCATGTGATTCATGGGCAGGAACAATCCTAAGATTTGCCAGAAGCATGTGTGGCTGAGGGTTAGGGATAGCAGATGGTAGAGGGCAGATGAACAATGCAGAAGGTGGACTGGTGGTGCAGAAGACAGTATCTGAAACCTCTCCTCCTGTACTGAATGGCACCACATATATATATATTTTATTTTAGAAGATTCCTTTGATCAGAAATCTACCATTTTTGAAGTTTGTATTGATTTTATTTCCATTTCTAGAAAATTCCATTCAATTTGCATTGGCTTTTTAGGATAATCTTTTTAATACATAGAAAACGAGCTGGCGGAAGGCATCAGTGTTGAGTCAAAAAAAATACATTCTGAAATCTAAGAGGAAATGGTCTTGGCAGACTGTTGATATAAAATAGCAGCCAGTACTGCAGTTGTTACCTCATTATAGCATTAGATATTTTGTTTTGCCTTTTCAAAGCAGGGAAAGGAGTTTTTTGTGTTTTTTTAAAAATATATCTTTATTGATTTCAGAGAGAGGAAAGGAGAGGGAGAGAGAGAGACAGAAACATCAATGATGAGAGAGTCATTGATCGAGTCCGCAACCAGGGCATGTGCCCTGACCGGGAATCGAACCCCAATCTCCTGGATCCCAGGTCGACGCTCAACCGCTGAGCCACGCCCGGCCGGGGAGGGAAAGGAGTTTTCAAATGTTCTCAACTAGGTCCTCCTCCCAACCCCCAATCTATGTGTAAGGTGTTTATGCCTAACAGCCTTTCTGTAAGTTTGGTCCATTCAGCAGTCCTGCAAAGGACCCAGAGGCACCAATTTCCTAGTCCTGGAGTATTGCAGTGCAGGCAGGAAATCCATTAGCTCCGTGGTGGAAAGTTAGAGGGTCTAAGAGAAAGAAGGAAAGTCTAAGAGAAAGAAGAGCAGAAACTCAGGAAGAGGGGTGGGGTGTCTGAAATTGAAAAGTAAAACAGACTCAATAAGCACCCAGTGTTCCCTGCTCAAGCGGGGGTAAGTTTGTCATTCCCATGGGCCTGATTCATCCTATTGAGTTTGGGCTCTGCTGGCAGAGAAGATGCTAGTCCTATTGGGGCAGGAGGGGGGTGGCTCCCCACAGAAGAGGGAGTAAGAGAACTGACGTTTATTGTGCACTCCAGGACGGAAACAACTCTGAACACTGTTATCACGCTGATCCAAGCCACCATTGTCTCTCCTTGATCTCCCTGCATCGGCTATGGCCACCTCAACACAATAGGTAGGTGACATTGTTTAGGACAGGTCATGTCTCTTCTCTGCTCAAAATACTTTGGCACCCTTTTATCCCATTCAGAGGCCAAGCCATGCACCTAATGACAACCCACAGGTATGCCCTTCTCTGCCCCACCAACCCCCTTCCTCACCAACCTGCTGTCCAGCTCACTCTCTCTCTCCTGCTTAGTGCTTGGACTTCCCTGTGGCCCATAGAGCCCCCCATGCATGTTTAACTTCTCACCTCATACTGATGTTCGGTTTAAAATTGAACCCCCTGCACCCACCCTCAGTCCTTATTCTCTATCTCCTTGCTCTATTTTTTTTTTAAATATATCTTTATTGACTTCAGAGAGAGGGAAGGAGAGGGAGAGAAAGAGATAGAAACATCAATGATGAGAGAGTCATTGATCGGCTGCAGCCCGCAACCCGGGCATGTGCCCTGACCGGGAATCAAACCCTGATGGCCTGGATCCTAGGTCAACCTGGATCCTAGGTCAACGCTTAACCACTGAGCCACGCCCGGCCAGGCTCCTTGCTCTATTTTTGTCTATTTAACACTTAATCATTTAGGACCTGTATTTTGTTTGTTTATTTTGTTGGCTGTCTTTCTCACTGCTCTATCCCTATATCAGGGCTAAGTGCTTCAATTCCTATCTGCTGAATGAGTACATGATAGATAGGCAGGGTTTTGTTTGTTTTTATTTTTATTCACTGATAGAGAGAGAAAGAAAGGGGGGGGAGAGAAATGTCAATTTGTTGTTCCATTTATTTATGAATTCATTGGTTGTTTCTTATATGTGCCCTGACCGGGGATTGAACCTGCAAGTTTAGCATGTCAGGATGATGCTCTAATCAACTGCGCTACCTGGCAAGGGCCTAGTTTGTTTTTAAGGAAGGTAATTTAAAAGGTAGAATTGTTCTACAACAAAATACCTAGAAATGCTCCCAAGCTACTTTGTGAAACCCGTGAGAAGGAACTACATTTTCTTATTTCTTTTAACTGCAGACAGTCCCCAAATTGCTCAGTTTGCATCTCTTTAAAAAGAAACTACCTAATTTTCTTGGCCTTAGGTACATTTCATCTAGCAATTGGAAAAAAGGCTTACCCTGTTAGGCCGGTGGTTTAAATCCAGGCAAAATAAACACCGCACTTGGCATGTAAGTAACTAGTTTAAACAGACTCTTAACCCTGAGCTTACCCCTTCCTCAGTACTGCTTCCTGAGTATGAATAGGGCCATTGACAGCCCTTAAGAAAATTTTCAGGAGTGGTGGAAATTTGATTTGAAGAGTTTCTCTTGGTTAAATTTAGTTTTTTCAAGTGTCGTACAATTAAAAAAAAAATTCTTTTTAAACAAACTTGCTGAGTGAATTCCACATGCCAGGCACTGGGCTAGGTGCTGGACAGTCCCTCCCTTCCCCAGGCCCTGCTCTGAATGCAGCAGCTTTTCAAGTGGAGAAAACATTCAGTTAACCAACAAATCTATTCAAACATGCTTTGGTTGACCATGTTCCAGTTCTAGGCACTTGGGAGAGAACGAACCCCAAAGACCCCACTCGCACGGGCTCACATTCCCATACCTACTGAATGATGAATTGTGCTGAGAAAGGTGTAGTGAGCTGGATGGGACACAGAATTAGCTTAAAACATGCTCCTTGTCCCTAGGGAATTGTTACATTACTACAGGAGATAACAATAAGATAATGGTAGATAAAATGAGCCAGTTAGAAATTCTCACAGGCAAAACTGCATGAACGAGGCTGAGAGGGTGAGGGAAATGCACAGAAAGGAACGTGAAAGGGCTCCCAGAGGAGGGGGGCTCAGAGGAAGGGTGCCTACGCTGACAGATGGAGTTCCAAGGCCCACCAACAGGGATACCGGGCTGGGGGGATTTTCAAGTTAGGCAAGCTCAGTGAGTGAGGGTGTGCAGCATGGCTGGCTGTGATGCATTTGCAAGACATCGCTTCTGGTCTCACCAGGATGGCAAATGTATCCATTCTTTACTGGCTCAAAGCCTTCTTGAGCAGCTGCTTTGTGCTAGGTACTCCACCAGGCATAGTGGTGAGCAAAACAGAAAAAGTCTCTTCCCCGCGGAGCTTACATTCTGGAGAGGAAGACTGCACAGTTAAACAGGTGAATAAGCAATTTCATCTTTTATTTATTTTTTAATCCTCACCTGAGGATGTTTTTTCCATTGCTTCCCACAGAGTGGGAGGGAGGGAGGGAGGGAGAGAGAGAAACATTGATATGAGAGAAACACATCGATTGGTTGCCCACCAGGGCCAGGATCGAGTCTGCAACCGAGGTATTTGCCCTTGGCCGGAATTGAACCAGGATCCTTCAGTCCCCAGGCCAACAGCTCTAACCACTGAGACAAACCGGCTAGGGCTAAGAAATACAATTTTAGATAGTGGCAAGAGAATAAAGCAGGATAAGGACTTCAAGGGAAAGGGGTGGGAAAGCTATCATAAAAAGGGTGGCCAGTGTGTGTGGTGGGGAGCAGATAATGGTGGGCAGAGTTCCAACTTGTGGATTAGGAAATAGGGAGCATGGCAGGTCTCTGAACAGAGAAAGTTGTTAGGAAAGGTCAGTCTAATCTTCCACGCATGAGATGAGATGAGTGGATGAGATGCCCTCATACCTTTGCCCCATCTGAGTCTCAAAGTGCTTACTTAAGAGGGCCATGGGCCCAGCCGTGTGTGACCTGGGATCCAGGAGATCACGGCTCAATTTCCTGTCAGGGCATGTGCCCAGGTTGTGGGTTCCATACCCGGTCGAGGGTGTGCAGGAGGCAACTGATGATCAGTGGTGACTCTCTCATTGATGTTTCAACTCTCTCTCTCCCTCTCCCTTCCTCTCTCTGAAATCAATAAAGGTATATTTAAAAAAAAAAAAAGGAGGGCCATTGGTCCCATTCCCTCTTACAGAAAACCGTGAGGACACACAGTTGTTACCGGGGAGATGAGGAGACCTCAGTTCTTGTCTTCTTGAGGGAAAGATTTCAATCAAGAGACAAAGTGTAGTAAAGAAAGCAAGAATTTATTGACAACAGCAAAAATATACATATGACAATGAAACAAGGAGGGGCCTAGAAGAAGCAACAGGAGAGCCTTGGCTGGGCTGCTTTGGCTCACTGAGAAGTCAGAGGAAAAGGGGGAAAGGGTTCTGGAGACAGGTTCAGGGGGTTAGCCTGGGACGAGCTCCCCCTGCCCACTGCTCCCCTGGTTGCAAATGTCATGGGGTCCCATATAGGTTAGGGGACACGTGCCTGTGAGGGGAGGAGAGGAGGAGGGAATGGCACAGGTGTGCTCCCTGGAGGGCGAGCGCATTGATACCTTCATTTTCAGGGGTTTTAGAGGCTGGGCATTTAGGGAAGGTCTTAGGGGTGGATCAATAGAATATTCATCAGCATTATGTGGTTGTACCAAAATGAGATTTATTCTTAATTTGCCTATTCTTGGGTGTGGTTTGCAAATGGCACTAATTAGATTTCTGTTATCTGTCTCCATGGGTAGGGTGATTTAAGCTATTTACCCTTGGGCTGGGGAAGAGAAGAGCAAACCATTTACTTTTAAGTGCCCTTGGTTTAGGGAAGATAAGATTTACTTGATGGCTGCAAACTGCTCTTTAACTTAGTTTCCCTATCCTGGAATGTTCCTAGCTTCGCACCATGCTATAACAACTCTATTAAAAAAGGAGGAAAGATTTTGCTAATAGTTATTGTAACTGCCAAAGTCAAATTTTCACTCCAAAGTTTTAAACGGGGATGGCTGTCCATTTTTCAGATACAACATAGCATCAAGTTTCTTGTATACGTGAGCAAACCCACCAAGAAAACAGCACCAGAAACCAATCTTCCTGCAGTCTCCCCTCTGCCCCAGCTTTGGAACCACTGGCAGTCAGGATCTTAGGAAGGATTTTCACAGATGCTCGTTTCAGGTAAACTTTTATAATGACCTCGGCTAGTAGCTCTATTTGCACACACGCCGATGAGGAAATCGACGCAGCTGGAAAAGCGCTTGGCGGACGCGCTGGCCGGGGGCCCCATCACTAGCCGGGGACGTCAGGGCTCTGAGGTCACCACTGTCCCGAGGCCTCCGGAGCGCGTCCCAGGGCCCTGAACAGGTGGGAAGGGGGACCGCGGGCCGGGAAAGGGCGGAGCTGGGGCAGCCAGGAAGGGGCTGG